AACTAATGTAGAATTTTCTCTGCAAAAACAAAGCACCACAATAAAAAGCCTACCCTTACAGTATTTTGCATCTGTCCATAGGGATTTCACATTTCAACAAATGCTTTTTTTCTGCAGGATTTTGAAAAGCTCTCAGGGAAGCTGTGCTACTGACTGTTACCATTATAAAAACACAAATTTTTTTATTTGGGAGAAAAGCTCATGGTATTTGAGCTCTTCGTGCATTATGATGTTTATTGATAGAAAACTGCAAGCTGGTCACTGCAGTTATTTACTGACTGCATAAATGAGATCTTTGGAACATAAACATTGAACTGAAAAGCCTCATCCAGCTGCTGCTGAGGCCTGTTTCTTACTATGAAACCAGCAAAGCTAATAGCTGCAAGGCCAACAGATAAAATTTCAGGCTTTGAGGGCTTTACTGCTGGCCTGTAAATCTTGACATTAATTTTTGACAGGCTTTTACCAGTAAATATCAGCTTACATGGGAAGTCCAACTTATGCTCAAGACATCATGTGCTAACTGGAGCCTCACGTGGTAAGTACATCACATTGATGACCGATGCATCTTTCATCTGGCAAGCATGAAAGAGGAGCCTCCTCGGTGGAGCCGGATGCACCAATTGCCCCTCTACTGGTCAGCTGCAAAAAAGTTGCAAGCGGGTTATGGCAAACCCCACCCAGTTGCCCCAGCAACAGGTCTTCATGTAATTACTTCAGGGACACCATATGAAGCTAAACGAGATGACAACAGGCCCCTGTGTCAGAAACAGGCTTCCCCCAAAAGATACAATGTTGGGAGGGGGGGATAAGCAGTGGGACTTTATCAAAATACAAGGGGCAGACAGGAGAGGGAAATGGTACCCTTCCAATCTAGTTTCTCCACCCTGGGGAAGGAGATCACTAGTAGGGCATTTTGCTCCTAATTATGTATAACAATTTGCTCACTCGCCAGAACAGGACAGTGACATGGCTGCCATTTTGTCTTATTACAGTATTTCCCTCTGGAAGATGGTGGATGAAGCCTGAATGAGAGAGAAGGAGACAGTGACATCAGTGGGAAGGAGGTGAACGTGATGAGAGTAGAACTCATTAACCTTACTTTGGCTAAAGGCAGACCTGGGCAAAGTGTGGCCCGAGGGCCACATATGGCCTGCAAGCTGCTCCTGTCCGGCCCCTGGACAGTTTTGAACATCAAAACCATTTACAGCTTTTTGTCTAAAGTTGATCAGTTGCTTATCTTTAAAAATAGTATTTGTGAAGATTAACACGTTTAAAATAAAAATAATAACATCACTGTTTCATTTTATTTTTAAGTAAAGTTGGTTCGGCCCCCGAACACAGTTCAGATTTTTCATGTGGCCCCCTATAGAAATTAATTGCCTGCCCCTGGCTAAAGGCTTCATAAAATGGGGAAGTGATGTACTGTACCTCTCCTAGTTCAGCTCATGGACAAAAAGGCCTCATAAAATGGGGAAGTGATGTACCTCTCCTAGTTCAGCTCATGGACAAAATCTGCTTTCCACATTACTGTACTTACTGAAGCAAAAGTGTGTCCTGGACATATTAATATTTGGGATGAAGGGGAGGTATTTGGTGAGTCTCCATCCCAAAGAGGATTCCGCCAGGGTCCATTTCCAGGCCTATCATGTAGATTAGAATGGCATCCATTTCAAAATCTGTACTTTGTCTAAACCCTACACAGAGTTCCATGGGATGGGGCTTACATTTCCCTCCTCACTTTTTAAAATGGATACTAACCACCTGAGTTGGCCAGCGAACAAATTTCTTGTGGCGGCACATCTGATGTATAAGGATTTTTAAAAGCTGCACCCAGGGAAAACCATTTTTCTCTATATAGTATCTCTGGAAGGGATGTGTTCTTTTTATAGGCTATACCTTTCAGAGGGTTCAGTGGCACCATTTCAACATACGCAACAGGAAAAATACTTTCTAGTCAACCCTAGGATTGTGGAGATAAAGAAAAGAAATTCACAAATTTAATGTTGGACAGAATGAATTTAGGCATGAGTCCAGCTGAAAGGAAAACAAATTAGATCCAGAGCAATTCACCCATTTGAAATTAAAACAGTGAAGGCCTTCAGGTTGTGGAACAGGCTACAAATCTAACTAACTGACCACATATTGAATGATCAGAAATGCACATTTTTTTTCAGGTTGCAAAGAGTACTAGCCGGGGTGGGGTGGGTACAAGACCTGAAATGTGGGCCACAGAACTTGGCTCAGTAGCTTCCAGTTGTGTTATGTGTCCATGCCATAGGGTTATTTATATACTCTGATTCCATCAAATGCTTACCTTTGACTTTGTAATTTCCTGCTAACATTTTAAATGATCATGTGATACCAGATCAATTAGCAGGAAAGAATAATTTTCATTACAATGCAAAGTGTAGTGGTTTAATAAGTGACTTTTCAAAGAGTAGTGTTTTAATAAGTGACTTTTCAAGTAGATCTTTCTGTTGTTCAACTACTGAAGTCAAGCAAATGGATGCTCCTTAAGTGCTTCGAATATCTCAGTCAAGAAAATACGGAAGAAAAGAGAGAAAATGTTGCTCAACAACTGCTCTCTGAAGCAGACTTGTTCAAAGGAAGCAGCAGTAATGTGAGACGTTATTTACTTGTAACTTTGGTTCTTAGAGTGGTCATCTTTGAATTCACACTATAGGGTTTAATCTGCGCTTGCAGAGGTTTCTGGAATATTCTAGAACTTTAGCACTTATTTGCCAGGACCACCCCCTAGTACACGTGGTCTGCCTGTCCTGGCAATTACCTGTACCTAAGAACAGCCTGCTGCTGTAATCAAATGAAACAGACGTGATGGACAGAGGAGAGGATGGGTGGGAAGTGTGAATTCACAGATGACCACTCGAAGAACCAGAGTTACAAGTAAGTAACCTCTATTTCTTCTTTGTGGTCCCTGTGAATGCACACTATAGGGTGATTAACAAGCTGACTTACCGGAGGAGGGACGTCACGGAAGGATAGACGACAGCACAGCTCTGCCAAAGGCCGGATCTGTCTTGGCTCTGACATCAAGACGGTAATGTGTGGCAAAGGTAGATGGGGTTGCCCAGGTAGCATCCTTGCAGATGTCAGGGAGAGGTATGCCTTTCAAGAAAGCTGCGGAGGTAGTAATAGCTCTCGTGGAGTTTGCAGTAATGGACGACATCAGAGGCTTGCAAGTGAGCTGGTATGCCAGGCGTATCATTGTCATGATCCATTGAGAGGTGGTTTGAGAAGAGACATGGGCACCTCTATGAGGTAAATAAGGGGTGACAAAGAATCTCTTAGACTTGCAGAAGGAAGAAATTCTAGAAATGTAGAACACCAGAGCCCTTCTAATGTCTAGTATGTGTAAGGATCATTCCAGGTCACTAGCTGGTGATGGAAAAAAAGTAGGTAAAATAATGGGTTGGTGTTTCTTAGTGTGAAGGGTTGCAGTGAATAGATCCTTCTTCCTAAAATGTCAATCTTTCTTCCCTCCTTCTTAGATGGTGTCACTGTAGATTACTCCTTCCTCTGGACTGATTGGATTCAACGATAATGGAATCTGGAAGAGGGTGCTTAAGGTAAAAAATCCATATATGAACCATGAGTTTTGTATACAGTGGACCCTCTACTTAAGGACTTAATCCGTATTGGAACTGTGGCTGCAAGTCGACAAGTCTGTAGGTCGAATCTCCATTGATCTACAATGCATTGAAAACTGATTAATCCCATAACCGGCGGTTTTTATTCTATTTTTGTTCTATTTTGGGTTTTTTCTGGTCTGTAGGTCGATTCTCCGGCGGCAAGTCGAATCTAAATTTTGCAGCCAGAGAAGTCTGTAACTCGAAAAGTCTGTAAGTCGAGCCGTCTGTAAGTCGAGGGTCCACTGTAGATTTTTGGTACCTCTAGAGATTTGCATTATAGACGGTGGCTTATCCCAAGTGTTCTTAATAAGTTTCAGCATAGATTTGATAAAGTTCAAACTCAATGGAGGAGACAGTTCCTGGTCGATGTCACCAAATACTGGGTGAGCTTTGGGAGAAGGGGTTTTTTCGATATGGAGCTGTAGTGCTTTAGCCATTCGGGATACCATCTGTGAATAAGATGTATAGTCTTCGGAGGGAGAAGAAGGATTATTGTCAAGTATATCAGAAGGAGGAGTAGGAAGATTAGGTGATGATTCTAGTGACGAGTCTGACTGGATTTCGTCACTGGAAGAAGAAGAAGATGATGATGAAAGATAGAAAGATATTCAGTGTAGAGTAATTGACGTGTGGAAGAAGGACGGGAAGGTTGAGGTTCCTGTATATCTTGAGACCTGAGGTCCTGTATAAGTGGTTGTAGTCTGTATGTGTCGATTTCGAATGGCTGGAGGATGTTTTGGTCGGTACCAACGGTGTAGGAAGAACCGTTTTGGATTTATGGGATCGACGTGAATGTTTTGGAGAAGGTGACTGATTGTATTCTTGTTGAGATGGGGACGTGTACCGAACGTGTTTCTGTTCATCAAACTGAGAACGATCATAGTGGGACTGCATGAAGTATGGGTCAAAATATTGATATGGAAACATAGGAAATGGGAAGTATTCTCCGTATGAAGGACCATGCCATGGTGGAGAAATATGCTTTTGTTTTTCCCAGTGTTTCTTGGGAGAACGATGGTCAGATTCAGAGCCAGACAATTGGATGTTGACTGCCCTCCCTGATGCAGGGCTGGAATGGGCCAAGGCCAGGCTGGATTGTGACTCAGCCTCAGAAAGGCCAACATTGGAGGATAGGCTGCATGTCGAGGCAGGGGCCTGAGATGGTTGTGTCTCCTCTCTCTCTGAGGTAGAACTATGCACCTCTCTGGATGATTCTTCTAATATTGGCGAATGTAGAGTCGCTTGAGGGAGTTCAGTGCGAGGTGGTTTGGCTCGTTTTGTCTTCTTAGTGACTGATTTATCCTTCTTTTTCTTTACCAGATCATGAGCTCGAGATGTCATTTTCGAAGTCGACATCAACTTTTGTTTTGCAGCCGATTTGGCTTTCTCAGCAATTTCCTTGGAAAGTGTAGGCAGAGTTGTCGGATCGGGAGTTGGCTGTGTTGGAATATGCCGCTCTACCAATGCAGTTGGGGACCTTGCTGTCTCCACAGAGGCTGCAGGAGGATTCATGGCTGTTTGCCAAAGGTATGATCTTAGCCTTTGGAGCCTGAGTTTTAACGCTGGTTGGTCAGTCTCTTACAAGTGACGCATGAGTGAGTTGGGTGCTCTTTGCCCAAACAAAATAAACGCCTCTCGTGGCCGTCGGAGAGTGGAATTTTGTTACTACAACTAACACAGCGCTTAAAAGGGGCTGGTGAGGCCATAAAGTGGGGAAAAAGAGGGGAAAATCAATTGAGGAATGGGGGGGGAAGCCAAAAACGGAACCAACTTACAGGGGAATGTTGATTAGTTGATTGAAAATAAGAAAATATCAATTAGATTATAATCAAAAAGGGAAGTCTTGAATAATCTGTCACAATAGCTAGAAAATTGCTCAATCTCTCCAAAAGTCCGATCAGCTTGGTGGAAAAAAGGAACTGAGGGGAATCTTGGGTGGGAGCAGCATGTGCCCCATGGGGGAACGTCGCCTTAAATTGTTACTTTTAGCTCTAGAATCTTCTGAGAAGTTCAGCGCAGTCACAGAACAACCCATTTGTGTGCATTCACAGGGGCCACGAAGAAGAATAGGGAAAGGGGGTGGTAGGGAGAAGGAGCACATATCAAAAAGTTTCTCACTGATTTCCCTCTGATTTTCTTTATTTTACAGTTGAACGAAGATAAAGGCGAATGGAGAGCTCTTCATGAGATGAAACCTCAGCTACGGCAAAAAGGAACTGAGATAATCGCCAGGACGGGCGGACCACGTGTACTGGGGGGGGGGCGGTCTTGATGAATGCATGATAAAGCTCTAGAATATTCTGGAAATCTCTGCGCAACTGCAGAATAAACCCTATGTGTAGTTCACCCTCATGCCCCTTGCTTGACCGTCAAGCCTCAGATCTCACGAAGGCAAATACTCTTCTCTTTTCACTGCCGCCACCAGGTGATCTCTATATCACCATTACTTCAGAAATATTCAGGTTCACGCATCAAGTTCTTTTAAAATAAAACTTTGGTTTATTGATTACAGAGATTGATTCATGAATATCTTCAGTAGCTAATCACACCTCAGAATTTCCCAAACTACACACTCTATTACTTTCTCTGACTTTTCTCTACTCCTTGACTCTTCTTACATTTGTCTTCCTCAATCTGACTGACTTTCACACTCTGACTCCACCTCTTATAGCATCTCTCTTGGCTTCGCCTCCCAGCAACATTAATAGGCATGAACCATTATATTACATAACAAACATAAACCATTACATAATATAACATGAACCATAGACCTAATAAATAGAGAACGCTACACGCCATAGTGTACATTCCTAGGGACCACGAAGAGCAAACTATTTTTTGGTTGGAGACTTTCAAAAGTGTCACATCTACTAAAATAGACGTTTACTCTTTTATCAGTCTCCTTAACACCAGGACAATGAAAATGTCACACTTACAAAGATGGGAAGAGGTAGCAGGCACTTTCTGTAAAAACATGAGTTATGTGCAATCAAGTCAAATCTGACTCACAGTGACTTAACAGGGCTTTCAAGGCAAGTGAGATATTTAAGGGGTGGTTTACCAGTTTCATATCCCCAATGAACTTCCATGGGTGAGCGGGGATTTGAATTCAGGTCTCCTGACTCCTAGTCCATCACTTTTATCTACTACACTACACTGGGTACTATAAAAACATTCATTATTTAAAAGGAAAAAATAAGAACTTGTCACATAAATAACCAGTATCCAATAATATATTGGATTCCCATTGGTACAAATAATTAATCCAGAAGTGTGTTGTGAAACTTCATGTTGATGACATGCAGTAAGAACATCCACTGAGAAGAAGCGTTGAAGAAGAAGAAAAAACCCAATCTTTCTGCTGCACCAACTGATTGCAAGGCAATGCAGATAAGCCAGGAAAGCTACCTAATTAAGAATAACAAATAGTAAAACAAGCAAACAAACAAAAAACATTGGAATATTTAGAAAATGAATCACAATGGGTCCATTACCTCCCTTTTGTTATTGTTAGACTCTTTGCAGACTCAATTCCACTCAGCTAAAAGAACTTGAATGAAAGACTAACTCATCCCAAACCAGCCTTAACAACTGTGGTTTACAAAGAACAAAACAGAGCTTGAGCAAGAGGGGGGGGGGGCTCAGAAAGTTATTTCTAATGCTGGGATTTTGTCCAGATAAATTGGTTTTTCCCCTGTCAAATGATAGTTTAGTTCTTCCCTTAGGTACAGTATATTATTTACTTACACAGAAATAGCAGCAATTATAGAGTTTTACCATTATTACTATTTAAGGAGAATTAACAAACATCACAGCTTCTTCTCTCCATTACACATTACCTCATTTTATCACCTACTGAAAAATTCATAAGAAATCAGATATCCATAAAGATGCCTAAATTATACCTGTTCCCAGTTAAGTAATGCCTTTGAAAATAGCTCAGCCCGTCATTCCTGAGCAAAGGCCTCTGACACAGCGTGGCCAAGAAATTGCAGCAATATAAGGGAGCATTGTAGAGCGGAATGAATACACACAATGAAGAGCAGAAGCCAGCCTTTATTCCCACTGGTTTCAGTGAAAGAGTTAACCATGTGCTTCAGTTTTCACCACTATCAATTGATTCCAATCTTACACACATTTAACTGGAAGTGGAAAACAGAATTTGGTAACAGAAGACACTTGCAAATTAGGAAGCTCAGAAAAAAAGAGATTTTTGTTTCTTTGTACTGAAGACACCAGTGTTACACAAAACCAACATAACACTGGCGGATTGGGTGGTGTTAGTCCCAAGGAAAGATGCCAGACTGCCCACGCTCACACCCATATCCCTGAAGACCCACGGTAATCTGCTGCATGTCATCTTCTGCAACAGCAAAAAAATTATTATTTATTTATTTGAAATATTTGTACTCCATCTTTCTCCTGAAAAAGAATCCAAGGTCCCTTACATCGTTAAAAAAACACACTATTAAAAACTTTTAAAAGTAAATTATTTAAACATTAAAGAAGAATTAGCAACATATTAAAATTGTTAGGCATGATAAAGAGCAATTGTGTGTTTTTTCTCTCTGGCAGGTTGTCCATTGCACAACCAGTTATGCAACTGGCTGTGCTCCCCATTTCGCAACTAGTGTGTGATACCTAACACGAAAGAGAAGTCAGAAGAGGTGGGAGAAGCATTTGTATTGCTTTTGCCTTCCACGTTTTCACAAGATTCTGGGTGGTGCAATAGGAGTAGTAGCAACAGTAGTAGTGATAGTAGTGACAAAGGGCCTTTTTGGTGGCCGTTGTCAGGCTGTGGAAATCCTTGCCGCAGGAGGCTAGGTATGCTCTCTCTGTTCTATACTACAGCTGGTTTTTTCTTCAAATTGTTATAATCACAAAATCCACATGTTTTTAGCAATATAATTTACATGTGAGCACAACCAGCATTTCTGAAGCAGTAAGCAGACCGACTTTGCTTCTATTAAATACATGTATTTATCACAGCAGGCATCATTTTAGAAGAGGCATTCCCTCCTCCCTGAGAAAAAGAGGAGGGAGAAATGCCCCTTTTAAGATGGTTCTTGCCATTTGCTCATTTCAATCAAAGGCATGACAACTGTGCCACCTCAAAGCCCTCTAAATTGCATGATGGTTTAGTCTCACACCAGATTCTGCCATTCTTACAATACAACAAATGCTACTGGAAAAAACTTACTGTTTGGAGAGGCAGTTACTGGAGAGAAAATGTGAAGAGGAAGCTTGCATACTTGTGCTTTTATATACATGACCCAAAGAAGAAGAATCCTAAAGTCCCTGCAAGGGACAAGTTAGGAACAAGAGAGGTGACATTCCCAGAAGAGGTACCTACCAGTGGACCCTTGACTTACAGACGGCTTGATTTACAGACTTTTTGAGTTACAGACTTCTCTGGCCGCAAAATTTAGGTTTGACTAGCAGACTGAGAATTGACTTACAGACCAGAAAAAAACCAAAATGGAACAAAAACGGCCTGTTACGGGATTAATCTGTTTTCAATGCACTGTAGGTCAATGGAGACTTGACCTACAGACTTTTTGACTTGAGAACCGCCTTCCAATACGGATTAAGTTCTCAAGTCAAGACCCCACTGTACAAATAAGAAAAGAGGTGTAAAAATGACCCCCATGACTTACCTTTAGGAGGCTTCAGGTATCTCTTCTTCAGAACTGGCCACCTTGGCTTGGCTGAATATCTAACAGCCAAGTCCAGGGCCATGATTAATCTTAGTCAGGCTTTTCTTCTCAAGAAAGTAAAGAATCCAGTTAACAGGATTCTGCCTTGCCTTTGTGTCATTCATTTCACAGCTGCTACCACTTTTCTGGCCTGCTGCTGTAAGTCCCTTTTCATCACGTCAGTGAAATTGTGATACTACTGTTCACCGCATTGTTGTCATGGCTCCTCAGCAGTTACAATTTGAGCCATACCTCCCAGGGGGTTCCACCAGTCAGTATCTTGGGACAGCCTCTAGAGCAGGGGTCTCAAACATGCGGCCCGGGGGCCATTTGCGGCCCACCAGCTGATAGTTTGTGACCCCCACCTTGTCTGTCCCCCCCTGAAGCGCCCATGCGGCCTCTGCTGGCAAGAGTAAAAAAAAGCCTCACCTCGCTCGCCGGCTCTCTCCCAAGACAGCGCCTCTTGCACCCTCCATCCAGAATTGCAGCCTGCCAGCCAGTCTTTCAGCAAATGAAGTATATTTTTTTTAAAAAAAAGAAGAAAGGAAAGCAAAAGAAAACAAATATTTCCAACATATAAGGACTACAGACTTTCTCAGAAATAGAAAACATGATGTGTATGGGAGAGGGGGAATTAATAGATTAGTGTTACCTCAGAACTAGAGTTTGGTAAATTTTACTTTTTTTAGATTGTAACTGTCAGAATCCAGAATTACAACTGTTGCTGTAAGCTGCCCAGAGACCTTTGGGTAGTGTGGGCGGCATATAGGTTAAATAAATAAATAAATAGATAGATAGATAGATAGATAGATAGATAGATAGATAGATAGATAGATAGATAGATAAATAAATAAATAAATAAATAAATAAATAAATAAATAAATAGCCAACACAGACACAGGGAATTGTAGTGCAAAAAGAGTCATTTCCCAAGCTTTACTACTTTCTAGGCATGAAGAATGATTTTCTCCTTTGGCAAGGCGATTCTGAGGTTTTTTTTAAAAAATTATGTCGTGCCCCCCCACTAGGCGGTCGCCGGCACTCACCCCCTTCTCCACTTCTTTGGCCTGCTGCTGCTGCTGGTAGTGTAGGAGCCAGAGGGGGTCGTGGCTGGTGATGAGGACTCACACGCCCCTCCTCCTCCTCGGAGCCCCAGCCGGACTAAGGAAACTCCTGGGGGGCTTCATCGGGCTCTTGTTCCACTTGGCAGAAAATCTGAGGCCCAGTCTCAGCCAGACTCTGCCTCCAGCGGCCCCCAGGTAAATTGAGTTTGAGACCCCTGCTCTAGAGGTCTTCCCAGCAGGGAAATGTACGTGCAACCTATGGTTTCTGGGGTCTGGATCACAGCATTCCATTCTATTTACATGGTGATTTAGTCTTGCTGAAAGAGATAGCCATGAACATATTCCAGAAAACATCCTTTCTTCTACATCTACCAGTTTCAAAGAGTTGAAATGATCCACGGACTTCACAAGCTCCTCACCTAGCAAGACTTGTTAGCTGTCCCAGGAGAAGACAGAAGGGTTGTTCACCATGATTAATTTCAAAGGAAGGCAGTAAAAGAGCAAAAAAGCCCCCTTCATCCTCAGCAGCCTGCTCCAGCCTACATGCTGTACATCTGCTTATTGTTCAACTTTGTACAATACTCTC